GAACAAATGGTTAGAAATATTTCATCATTTTGAAACAAACCATGTTCCATACAATAATGCACTAAAAATTGTGGAATACTTTATGCACTGTCCTTACCAGGAACCAATGCTGCGACTGAACGTGTTTTTTCTACGGTAAATAAAGTGTGGACATCAAAAAATTCACAATTAAGTGTTGAGACTTTGAAAGCCATTTTATGTGTGAAATATAATTTAACAAATTCTTGTGAAAAATTTCATGACCTTTTAAAAGATAGCAATCTACTAAAAAAATTCACTCAAATGAGAAATATGCCAAAGAATAAAATAACATACATAATTTTAACGTATTATAGTTGTAAATTGTACTTATGTTGAAATAAAAAAATATTACAATACTATTTTTGCGTTCTATGAAAATTTTTGTTGCTCCACGTAGACCAAATTTTTAATCAAGGCCCCCCTCCTCCCCGCCCAATGGTGTCCCGCTTTACCAATGTTAAAATCTGGTCACCTTATTTGACATGTACATAAGATCATGGGTCCCTTCAGGGTCAGAGTCCATTCCAGAGCGCCCCATAACAATGAACCCCACGACAGAGCACCTGCAGCGGCACAGCTCTGGGGTACCATGCAGCCCGACTGGCACGCCGGCGACCGCAACCCGACTTCCGGTCCCCTTTACTCCCGCCCCCACTTCCGGTCCCAACTGCTTGCGTCATAACCAAGCGACGGGTGCTGGGCTTCCTGGACGAGTCCTGGGACCGTGGGGGTGCGGTCCCGCTTGGAGGGAGGCGGCGGTGCGGGGTCGCGAGCTCAGGCCCCGGCGTCGCCCACAGCTCGGCGTAGCCATGGAGAGCGGGGGGCGGCCCTCGCTGTGCCAGTTCATCCTGCTGGGCACCAGCTCGGTCGTCACCGCCTTCCTCTACTCCGTGTACCGGCAGAAGGCCCAGGTCGCCCACGAACTCAAGGTCAGTGCGGGGGCCGCCCCGGGCCCCGCCGGGTCGCCTCAGCGCCCGTTCCTGTTGAGCCCACGGTCCGCCTCGAGGGCCCCGCGCCACAGCCAGCAACTCCCAGAGAGAAATCACCAGGCCTGGGAATGGAGGAGCGGGGGTCCGACTCCAGGTCTGAGGATAACGGTTTCCTTGTCGCCAAAGTTGCTCTCGGGACTCAGAAGGAGTCTTGAGTAAAATTGATCCGGCAAATGTTTATCGAACACCTAGTGTGTGTGAGGCCCCGAAGATAAACCGACGGAAGCCCTTGCGCCCCTGGAGAGTCTTACTTTTATACCTGCTGGCAGGCAGGCTCAAGTACATTGATGGGCATCACATGCGTGCAAATGTTAGCGAGTGGTGCAGGGAATAGGGGAAAGGAGCGGAAAGGGTGGGTGGGTGGGGTTTGCGGTTTTAACTAAGGTGATGATGGTAGTCTAGGAAGAGGTGAGGGCATGGGCCATGCAGTACCGTGAGATCAGGGCCAGACAAAGCGCTAGCCCTCCTAGTTCAGTGGCAGGAGCAGATAATAAAGGAGCAGATACATGACTGGTTGTTAGTGCTTAGCTTCTCAGTGTAGGTTGTGAGTCAGCTTTTAATTGGCCTTGCCCCTGTCATTCTCTGTGTTGGAGGAACTTAAAACTTGTTGACTCACCGTGAACCCATGAGGCAAGCCATCACACGACCCCATCAGGTTTTCTTGGGTGTTATCTTTGCAGAAGCAAATCACCGCATCCTTCTCCTTCAGCCCCACTCACTGCGTCCACGCCACCAGCTGGTCAGCTAGCAGCCACACGCGTGCCACTGTGGTGCCACCAGGGCACCTCACTGAAACTCAGTGGACCTGAAACTTCAGGGGATTTCAAAAACTTGGTGGAAAAATGGACCGAAACCATCGCGGATTTTCCATGAATTTTTTAAAGTCCCCTCCTCCGTGTCCAGCACTAAAGTGACTTTTTTGGCTTTCTTCAAAGATTCTTTGGGAAAAGAGGGACTGTCCTATATTTGTCTCTGAGTTTCCTAACGCCTCACACTGTGCCTAGCACATAGGTACTTAGGAAGTGTGTATCACTGTTATTAGTGATTTATTGTGGTTGTCTAGTTTAAGCACAGCAGAGTGGAAATGGAATTGGTAGAAGTCTTGGAGATAGAGCTTGTCAGAGGACAACAGTTGCAGAAGTAACCTGTTGGAAGGTGAACCTGCTCAGCTCAATAGAGAATATCTACAGCAACCACCGTACAGCTAACGTCACACTCGGGAACAAGTGCTATGCAAGTGCTGGGTGGTTGCTGGGTGCTGTCAGGTTGTTCTGACTCAGTGACCCTGTGTACAGCGGAATGAAACATGGCCCGGTCCTGTGCCGTCCTCACAGTTGTTCTTATGTTTGAGCTTGTTGTTGCAGCCACTGTGTCAGTCTCTCTCTCTCTCTCTCTCTCTCTCTCTCCATCTTTTTTACTACCCTTCCGCTTTACCAAGCACCATGTCCTCTCCTGGAACTGCTTTCTCCCGCCAACATGTCTAAAGTACAGGAGACAGTCACCATTTGCTTCTAAGGCGCAGCCTGGCTGTACTTCTTCCAAGAGAGGTTTTGATTCTCCTGCCAGTCCATGGTGCTGTCAACACCAGTACCACAATACAAGTACACGTCGTCTTCCGTATTCATTGCCCAGCGTTCATATGCTTACGAGGTGACTGGAAATACCCTGGTTGAGTCAGAAGTACCCTAGCTCTCAAAAGGCCAGCTTGGCTCTTTCACACCCTGAAGGGGCCTTTTTGCAATAGGTGCGCCCAGTGAGGTATGTTATCTGATTTCTCCATTGCTGCTTCTGGGAGCATTGAATGTAGATCCAAAGAAATGAACTCCGTGAGAACAGTTTTTTTCTCCATTTGTTGTCCAGACCTATTGGTCCAGTTGTGAGGATTTTGGTCGTCCTCTTTTTTTTTTTCCAAGTTATTTTATTGGGGGCTCATACAGCTCTTATCACCATCCATCCATCCATTGGGTTGAGCACATTTGTACATTTGTTGCCATCATCGTTTCCTTCTTTTTTAATCATTTTATTGGGGGCTTGTACAACTCTTAATACAGTCCATACAGCCATCATCATTTTCAAAACATTTTCTTTCTACTTGAGCCCTTGGTAGTGGCTTCTCATTTTCACCCCTCCATCCCTCCTCGATAATTTATAAATCACCAAGGGTTCATGAGGGGGAGAACGGGGGAGGGTTGGGGAATGAGCTGATACCAAGGACTCAAGTAGAAAGAAAATGTTTCGAAAATGATGATGGCAACCTATGTACAAATGTGCTTGATACGATGGATGGATAGATTGTGATAAGAGCTGTAAGAGCCCCAATAAAATTATTTGAAAAAAAATTTAAAAGAGTTACAGCCTCAGAAACTCATGGGGGGGGGGCACAGTTCTACTCTGTCCTTCCTATGATGTGGAATTGGCACGGTGGCTGTGAGCTTGTCTGAATGGAGGAAGTGGGCATCGCGCCCCACCCCCGGGCATATCTGAGCCCTGCCCCATGCCTGGTCAGCCTTTAATCCTGGTAGGATTTAGCTTTGGAAGTCTTTATGGTCTCCATTCTGACTCAGAGCTACCTGAACAGGACAGAGGAGAACTGCCCCTGTGGGTTCCCAGACGGAATCCTTGCAGGAGTAGAAAGCCATTAGCAGCCCAATCCTCTGGAACCTGCCTGCCATGCCCCACGCCACCAGGGCTCCTCGCAGCCCATGCGCCTCGCTTTCTCAACAGGAGCAAAGTTCTGTCTTTTCCTCTTTTGTCCTTTAAGTTTGCTAGAACCTGTCAGCATTCAGCAGCTCATTCAATACACTCCTTTCATTTAGGGAGCCAAAAAAATCCACTTGGGTGAAGACCTAAAGAGTATTCTTTTGGAAGCACCAGGAAAATGTGTGCCCTACGCTGTGATCGAAGGTAATGCTTGTTTTCTGGTAAAGTAAAAACTGGTCCCTTTGTCCAAACAGTTAGCAAGGCTCTGCTTGACTGGCACCAAGGGCTTTTGGTGGCACTGAAACAGTGGGGCAGGAGTCCAGATTTGGGGCTTGGGGTCACAAAGATCTGGCTTATTGCCGTGTGGTCCTGGGGAAATGATCAAGCCTTCCCAAACTCCTACTAGTTCCCCAGCTCTAAGATAGCACCTACCTTGCCGATTGCCGGAAGACTTAAACGACGTGATCTGTGTAAAGTGCTTTCCCACATCTCCCCCAGATGTAACTTACAGTGATAGAAACGTCATCGCTTTTGCTAGTCAGACTAACTCAAGCTCAAATCCAACTTTAGCCTTAACAGAGAGGCGGGCATTATTCAGACACATCGCTTTGTCCCACGCAGGCGCTGTGCGATCGGTGAAAGAAACTCTCAACAGTCAGTTTGTGGAAAACTGCAAGGGAGTGATTCAGCGCCTGACACTGCAGGAGCACAAGATGGTGTGGAATCGAACCACCAACCTTTGGTGAGTGTTGTTTCCTCACTGTCCAAATGCTGTGGCCCTGGGCCTGGTGCCATGTCTCCCGTGCCCCCTGGAGCAGGCTGGAGGCCAGGCCCTCCTTGCTCGCTGATGGCTTTCTGGTGTGTGGTCCGTGAACCTCTCACATCAGCACCCTGTTGGCATCTTCCTAAGGCGCGTATCCCTGGGCTCCTTTCCAGACCCAATCTGTGTCTTCACCTTGTTCCGGTTGATTCTTACCCGCAGGGAAGTTGAGAAACATTGATTTGTGGATTTAGTGAAGTGATTTTGGAGCTGTCCCAGGGGGTGCCCCTTTCCCAGCTGCTCCTGGAGGTTTGCTTTTGGCAGTTAACGTACAGCAGCGGCAGGGGGAAGCTCGTGATGCAGGCCTTTTCTGACCGCACCTGTGGGCCTGCTGACAGCACCAGGTGACCTGAAAAATTGGGGCTCCCTGTTGATCATTTCAGACTTCATTCTGCCCCTCCCGTCCAACCTCCTTGGGGTGATCTCATCTCTCCCTGGGGGTTTGCAGTCCTGTGTTAGCTGAGTTCTCAACTCCTTTTAGGAACGACTACTCAAAGATCATCCACCAGAGAACCAACACGGTGCCCTTTGACCTGGTGCCCCATGAGGACGGGCTGGACGTGGCCATCCGAGTGCTGAAGCCTCTGGACTCGGTGGACTTGGGCCTGGAGACTGTGTACCAGAAGTTCCACCCCTCGGTGCAGTCCTTCACGGATGCTATCGGCCACTACATCAGCGGGGAGCGGCCCAAAGGCATTCAGGAGACAGAGGAGATGCTGAAGGTTGGGGCCACCATCACGGGGGTGGGGGAGCTGGTCCTGGACCACAACTCCATCCGCCTCCAGCCCCCCAAGCAGGGCATGCAGTACTACCTGAGCAGCCAGGACTTCGACAGCCTGCTGCAGAGGCAGGAGTCCAGCGTCAAGCTCTGGAAGGTCCTGACACTGGTGTTCGGCTTTGCCGCCTGCGCCACCCTCTTCTTCATCCTCCGAAAGCAGTACCAGCAGCGGCAGGAGCGGCTGCGCCTCCGGCAGCGGCAGGAGGAGTTCCAGGAGCACGAGGCCCAGCTGCTGCGCGGCGCCGCGCCGGAGGATAGGGAGAGTCTGAAGAGCGCCTGCGTTGTGTGTCTGAGCAGCTTCAAGTCCTGCGTCTTCCTGGAGTGCGGGCACGTCTGCTCCTGCGCCGAGTGCTACCAGGCCTTGCCGGAGCCCAAGAGGTGCCCCGTCTGCAGGCGGGAGATCACCCGAGTAGTCCCCTTGTACAACAGCTAGTTGGCCCGTAGAAGCCAGGCTGCCAGCTCTGGAAATGACACCCACCCACCCCACCCCCTTTCAGCGACTTTGATCCAAGACCTTGAAGAGAGCAGCATGGGGGTGGCTGTCAGTCTCCAGGTGTGAGGAGGGGAGAACTGACCCCCTATCCAGCCGCACACAGCAGGTGGTCTGCCCACCCAAGGGAGAGCCCTTCCCAGGAACTCGGGAGGCGAGCCCATGACCTTCAGCGCCTTACTCTCCTGCCTCTGGCCCTGTCTGCGGGACTGTTTCGGCCTGTGGACGTGTGGTGGGCCGAGGCCAAGGGGGGAGGCGCAGACAGGTCTGAGGTGCTGGTGCCTGCCAAGCTGATGCTGAAGACACTTCGTCCTAGTCTGCCCTTCTTTTGCTTAAAAGCCAGAAAAATGTGTGCTTTGCCATTTTCAGGTGGGACATGTGAGCCTGCCTCTCTGCTGCTCAGTGTGCGCAGGGACACAGGTGGGTGCAATGCTGCATACCTGCCGTCCACCGAGTGAAGGTCTCGTGCTCATGTGAGGGGAAGCTGGAGTGATGGCTGGGAGGGCAGTGAGCACACACTTGGGGCCTGCGGGTGTCGAGGGCTGCCTGTCTCCTGAGGTCCTAGCCCGAGACTGGGATGTAAAGGCCTCACCACCCAAAGGAAGCAGTCTGGCCGAGGCTACCCTCACTGCCCTCACCTGCGTTTCAGGCCAGCCAGCTACATGAGCAGAGCCCCACCTCTGCCTGCCCTTCCCCAGCCTGGGGTGCGGGGGGTCGGGGGGACGCATGCTCAGAGGCCATACACATGGCTTGTTTCCCTCCCCCCACTCCCATTTTTGGCTCTTGGAATAGTGGTCCCGGGGTCCTGTGTGCAATGGAAGAAGAGGGCTTCTTGGTGGCTGCTCTTGCACTACACAGCATCCAGCGGGGACAGCACAAATGAAATGTCCAAACCAAGTGTTTGTATCTACCTTTGTTCATAGAAAAGGGCCAGGCCGTTGCTCGCCAGGTCCCTGCTGTGACGGACTGAAGTGCAGGCTCTGAGGTCTCCACGTGATCGCTCAGCCCTGACGCGGGGGCTCCTCGCCACAGCCTGGTCAGCATCCTGGCCGCTGACACCAGCTGTGAGGAGACCTGCTGAGGCCAGGGCAGCAGATTCCACCTGCAGAGAGAGAGGGTGGGCGGGGCTGAGAGACGGCAAGGAGGAAGCTGACTAGGGAGCACCCACTGCCAACCAGGGGTCTCCCAGGTCCCCCTTCACAGTGAGCCTGCAAGGCAGCTCTGTGGGGGAGGAAGCAGCCCTAGAAGGGAGTCGGTTGGATGGAGGTCGGATGCTAACTCCATGCTGCTGTAGAGCTGCTGCTCCTGACCCAACCTGGAGGGCGGCCCTACTGTGGACAGCGGGGCAGCATGGGTGGTAAGGGGCTGCTGTGGCCTGCCCAACAAGGTGCTGAGACCAACCATTACCCTCGGGTGGTCCCCAGGTGCTGTGACCCATGTGTTTCCGAGGAGCAGTCCCCCCTCCCGGGGTCTCAATCTCGACAGTGGGCCCGCCTGCCTCTACAGGAACCACAGTGCTTTGCTGAGGAGCGGAATCCAGGCTATTGCACCCCTTGTGAGGGGTGAGGACTCTGGTGTTAGATCCAGAAGCTTGGGGTGGGGAGGTCAGGATGAGGGTGATTCCTGTGAACTGCCCCCCTGGGGGGGAGGGTTTCTTTGGTAACTCACCAGCCCATGAATAGGTTGAATAAGTCAATCTGATTCCAGAGATTAAAAAAGAAGTGGAAGGCTTGCCTTGTCCCAGCCCAACACAAATCCGGGGCAGACTTTAATTCTTACACCCTCTGAGTCAAGCAGAGCGGCCCATGTGGGGCCCAGAAGTCATACGAGGTCCCAGCGTCAGGAAGCTGGTGGCTGGGGAAAGGGTCCCTCCACCCCAGTGTGGGTTTGCCCAGGGCTGCCAAGCTCTGACTAGAGCTACACCCTGCGCCTTGTTCCCACTAAGCCGAGTGCTTAGAGTTGTCCACAAGACAACTGCTGCAGTGAGGTAGACAGCATCTTCAAGCCAGCACCAGCCACACTCGCCGGCTGCCTTTGGGTGCAGTTGGGTACAGGTTGGAGTCTTACAGCACTCTGGACTCGTCCTTAGAAGGCTACCTGAAATTGCAAATGCAGCCAGGTACAACCTTGGAACCATTTGCCATTCTAGCCCTGGCTATGGAAAGCTCGGCTGAGTGACGGCTGCCGTTGAGGCCAGAGGGACCCGGGACTGCCCAGAGGAAGAGCCAGTGGAGTTGGCCATCGGCACTTGCATGTGTTGCTGAGGGTGTGGTTTGTGGCTGGAGGTGCTCTCCAAGGGCCCGGAGCTGTGCCTTCACGGGTCCTAACGAGGAGACGAGCCCGCTTCCCTGGTGCCCTTGGGGATACTGTGGCTCACACAATGTTGCAGCTGGGGGGACCTTTGAGATGGCCTGGAGTTTGACCATTAGCCAAGGTCAGTGTAACAGTGCTGAAGGGGATGGGGCACACGTGGGGACACTCCCTCGCCCCCCTTACAAAGGATCTAGTTAAAACACACCGCCTTGACCATGTTCCTCTCTGCTTAAAGCCCTTCCCCAGAGCCCCCAGCTCTGAGCAGCCGGCCCAGCCATGGCCCATGGAGCCCTATGTGGTCCATCCCTCGCCATGCCTCGGCTCATCCCTCTGTCTCTCACCGCAGCCCCTGCACCTAAGCTGTTCTTCACACACCAAGCTTCGTCCTCCCCACCCCTTTACCATGTTAATGTCCGTTGCTGTTAGGTGCCATCTAGTCATTCCAAGTAGACTTGGATTCAGAGTGGCCCTGTGTGACAGAGTAGAGCTGTCCCACAGAGATACCTGGACTGTGATCTTTACTGGAGCTCATCACCAGGTGTTTCTTGCACAGATGGCTGGTGGCCTTGAACCACCAACCTTTTAGCAGCCGAGCACTTGACCATCATACCACTTAATATGGACTCACTCAATGCTAGCTATGGCTTCCAGAAAACCTCCCAGGTGGGGGAGCATCTCCCCACCCTGCTCTCTGAGGCACATACACACCCCGTGGCATTGTGGGTCAGCAGTTCGAACCTACTAGTCATTCTTCAGGAGAAAGATGAGACTTTCTACTGTATGAGACTTAAAGCCTGAGACTCACAGGGACAATCCTACTCTGTCCATAGGGTCATTGAGTTGATGTCAGTAAGTTTGGTTTTGGTAAATATATACCCCACCCACCCACCCACCCACACACATCTGTATCTATAAAGGAGCCCTAGTGGTAGCCTCCTGTAAAGATGTACAGACTTGGAAACCCTATGGGGTAGTTCTACTCTGTCCCATAGGGTCCATGTGTTAGTCTGGGTAGACTGTAGAGAAATCCCAGCGGCAAATGTGTGTAAGAGCTTTTTATCAAAGAGCAGTTGTATATTGAAAAAACAGCTGAGTCCAGTCCAGATCAAGTCTATAAGTCTGGTATTAGTCCATAGTCCGATACTAGTTCATAAATTCCTCTTCAGACCCACGTTGCCACTCTCAATGATGCCGAGTTCAGGAAGATGACAAGCTGGCGAGTGAAACGTCTTGTGGATCCAATGGCAGTAGAAGCACCACAGGGCTGTCTCGCAGTTCTCCGCCCCATGGCTCAGGTTGCAGCATAGCTCCACGCGGCTTGTCCACAGGAAGACAGAAGGCAGAGACAGAGGAAGTTCCTAGAATCTGTTAGGTTTCTCAGGTGGAAATACCTCGGTCCTTGGCTTTGTGTGAGAAAATTTAATCAAGCCTGGCTTGTCATCCAAGTGAGTTTTATAAAGGATAGAAGTTTCAGGTTTTACACAGGCCCCTCAGGGCACTGCACACCTGCACGTGGAGACCTGACGCCAGAAGAGACTGTACAGCCAGCTGGTGGAGCTGCTCAAGAAAAAGAAGAAAAGGTGCCGTGGGCTTTGGATTCTGGCTTTTTTATGGCCGTTGGGAGGTGTGGTCCACCTTACTGGTTGACCCCATTGGCTGAATTAAGCTCACCTGGCCCAGATTGGGGCCCACCCAGGTGTACTGCCCACCTAAGTGTACCACCCCTACCTGGCCTGGAGCTTAAATTTTGGAGCATGCCCAGTGGACACCCTGGCCCCTGTTCTTCTGACTGCCTAACAAATCCTCATGAGAAGTATCATCAGGTTGTGATCTGATTGACAGGCTAGATTCCACCCCTAGACCTATGTATGAAGTTGACATGCGCTAAACTTGAGTCTGTGTGTGTGTGTATTTGAGCTATAATTAGTACTTGCTCTTTGGTAGATACTCTGCCAAGTGTTTTTACATGATCGTGCATTATCATCACAATGCGTGTGCTAGTACTCAACTTTAAAAAGCAAAAAACCCCAAACAAACCCATCCTGACATTGAAAGATGTGGAGTATACTGCCCACGGCCATCATGAGCCCAGGAGAGAGACAGGGTTTAGTCCAGGCAGTCTGACTGCGGAGCCCATGCGCTTCACCGCTGGAATGAGTGGGTAAATAAGTGAATGATCTAAGTGTGGGGAAGCAATCCTGATGGCCGCCTTGAGGAATTGGCTTTTGGACTGCAGATGAGAGCCATGACCTGGTTCAGAGGAGTGAAAGGAGGGCCCCTCATAGGCCTTGGCAGCCAGGATAGATAAACTGTGGGGGACATCACGTCCAGAGGCCTGGCCAGAGCTTTGAGGACACCCAGGAAGGTTGAGAGAGACAAAGTCTGACTTCCTCTCTGGTCCTGGCTCTGTTGCTGTGTGACTTTGATGGAGTGATTTAACCTCTCTGGCCCTTAGTTCTGTTTATAAAAGGAGCCAGTTGGATTAGCGATTCCTCTGGCTTCATCCAGCTGTGGCAAGATGGAGATGTGGAGTGATATGAGTGTGGCTATTCTAAGGCCCTCTTTCAGGGCTGCTGGTCTGAGAGGTGAGGTGTGGTCCCCTCTTCAGGCAAGTGTCCCATCCCGGCCTGTGTTCATCCTCAGGAAGCCAGGGAGGCGAGCATACTCCCCCTTTAATTAGCATGAACTTATCAATGTTGAATGAGAGAAGTCTCTGTGCATGATGTCCCAGAAGGCTCCCTGAAGTGCTCATTAGCCACTTCCCCTGCAGCTGTTTTATTGTTTCTCTGATGTCAGCCGGGTACCTGGCATTTCCTTCCCTGAGCCTGGGACACGTGAGGCCAAGCCAGTGACACTAGTGTCGTCCAGAGAGGAGTGAGGGCCTGCCTGCTGAAGTCTCATGGGCCCTTCAGTTCTTGCCCATGACCCTCAGCCCTTGCTGGAGCCACCTACATCAGTCAAGCTGTGTCTAACTCCTGGGGACCGCGCGCACAATGGCATGTAATGCTGCCTGGCCCGGTGTCATCCCCATGATCCAAGGTGAGTTTGCCTCTTATGGTTGATAAGGGTTTCTTTTTATTTTCTCTTTTAATAATCATTTTATTGGGGGCTCGTACAACTCATCACCATCCATCCATCCATTGTGTCGAGCACATTTGTACATTTGGTGCCATCATCATCCTCAAAACATTAGCTTTCTACTTGAGCCCTTGGTATCAGCTCCCCACTTTCCCCCTCGCGATAAGGTTTCACTGCCTGGTTTTCAGAAGCAGACCACCAGACCTTTCTTCCTAGTCCCTCTTGGTCTGGAAGCTTCACTGAAACCTGTTCAGCATCTTGGCATGGCAGAAGCCTCCGCCGACAGATGTATGTGGGTGTGGAAGTGTGGGGGCTGTCCTTGAAGTGCAGTGGCCAGCAGTTTAACCAGAGGCCCCATGTGTGGGAGATGAGAATTCACTATGGAACCACTAATGCCTCACATTAGGTCCCTCAAATCCAGACTCCCCTGACTGGAGCATCACAACTGGACCCAACATTCTGTTAAGGACCAACTGTGGGGACAAAGAACGAGCTGGCATTCAACT